TAACGTCAAAATTGGAGCCACTTAAAAACATGAAAGTTGTAGGAAATTATCTCAACTTTTCATGAAAAAAAATAGAGGTCATTTAAACTTCTAGAACTCTAAATATGGGCATAACACTAAACAGTGTTCGGGATGCAGGACAGATTCGGACTTCTTCGTTGTTGCTATAATTTGTACTTGAAAATGACCTTTTTAAATCTTGATCTATTATGAAAGCTATAGGCCTATGTCTTACCTTTCCATCCATATAAAGTAGACCTAAATCTGAGATCTACAACTCCCCATATGACCCAATTATCGAACAGTGTTCCGGTTCGGACAGCACCATCATCTCTTTTCTAAGTTTAGTCATCTCTTTGTCCTTTTAATTTCAATACTTAAACTCATCAATCAATCCTTTCATTTATATGATAGGCCTATATTTAAATAAATTAAAGGTATCTTATATTATTAGATATATTATTATAAAACATGCTTTAGTTAAGGAGTTATTGATATTTCAAGTGCAAAATGATGATATAAAACCTTGATAAAAATACACTTTTATGTACTAATCATAGTGACATTAGCTTTGGTTAATGTCAAATATTCAAAATATTTTTTTTTGCTTAAGAATTATATATGTTGTTGGATTGTTTGCCGAACATAAATCTTCATCATGAAAAGTCATGCCTATATTCAAAATATAATTAAATGTTATTATTTAACTAAAATAAAATTGACATTGTTTATTGAAAATATAATAATATAAATATCCTAAAACAAATAAAAAAGTATTAATCATCCCTAAGGATTCCACCATTAAGCATGCCATCTGTTTTATCCGAGTTTTCTAACAAGATAAGCGTTGTGATCTTTAAAATCATATTTATGAATAAAATTAGTTTCAACTATATTTTGTTTCAAAGAGTTTTGAGATAAATCTGCAAGATTTTTTTAGCGTGCGACAAGTGCAAGATCAATGACCATGCATTCAACACTTATATATGTTTGGAGACTTGTTATATTACATGCTACATCATTAGTTAGAATTAGACCAAGTGCTTACTATAAATATTCTCATTACAACTTGTTTTGGTTTATTGTGTCTCTAATTCTAGTGGTATAGTAAGTTGTCTTTTGAAGGATTCTCTCTTCTTCTTTTCCTTTTATTTTTTTCATATCTATACCCTTTGTTCTTTCTTGTCTTTTAGACAAAGGTTCCATTCACTTCAGGGAATAGTTTAAAACCAGTGGGATGAGATTAATGATTTTTTATTAAAAGTTCATTATTTTATTTAGCTATATGCAGACATGAAATTAGTTTTGAATACCTCTAGAAATTGCATTTTCTATATTGTTGTTGCATGACAATATTTAAGGCATGAAAAGTAGATAATGTTTTCTCTAACATTTGATATTTTATGATATTTTCACCACACAACTTTAACTGTGAGGTAATTTTAAAAAAAGCATAATTATATTCATTTACCGATTTAAAATATTACAACCTCAGGTGCAACTAATCATAACAAGCTTAAGAAAGTATGGTAAATTTTTTGTAGTCATATCTTTCCTTTAGATTTTTTCATGGAACAAGAGGATCTTTTATTGTGAGATATTAAACTTTTAACCCTTCATAGAGATGGTAGTGAGTGAAAATCATTACTTTTATGTGATCCTACAAGGTTGCGCAATTTTCTTTTTTGATACTATGTCCAAGATTCATAGCTTCTAAATGAATTAATGTGTCAAGACTTGATCCATGATAAATAATTATTTTCAGATATATCAAGAGCAATAAACTCAAGCTTTATCTGATTTGATATTATCTTTTATTATTAAAAAAATAACTTATTAAATAAAATCATAAACATAAAAGGACTAAAATTTGCCTTTTAAGACTCCTATTTATTTAGTTTTTTAGAAATACTAGTTCTTCAAGAACTATATTTAATTTATTTAATTTTTTAGGAACTTACAATACTAATTCTTCAAGAACTTTAAATCTTGATGAATAAAAAAAAATTGCAATAAATTCCATAAAGTATGAACAATATAAAAAGAAAAAAAATATTGAAATTGATACAAGTCACATAACATAAGAGTTCATAAGTGATAAAATTTCTATATAAATTAGAGTGATTTTGCTAATAATAGATTAAAAATAAAAAACAAGTAAGACCATACATATTCAAAATAAAACTTAAAAAAAATTCATATATTTTATTATATATTTTTCAATACTCAAAATACAAGACAAGTATTCTATTTACAAGAGAAGCAAATAAAAACATTAAAAAACACTAAATAATCTAGGTGTCATAAAAAACCAAAAGATTAAAGGGTGTTTGAAAGTATTATAGCAATTGTTTTTCAAATAGTTTTTCACTAAAAAATATAATAATATAATATTAAAAAATATTCTTAATAACAATATATCAAAACAATTCAAAAAACATTAAAAAATTAAATTTAAGCCAAAAGAATTCTATTTAAAAAAAAAACATCGTTTCAAATTGTATTCCCTGAAGTCATCAAATGTAAGGGATTCTAATAGGCAATATATATATCGTTTCAAATTGTATTCCCTAAAGTCATCAAATGTAAGAGATTCTAATAGGCAATATAT